TGATTTTAAGCTAATTTTCATTAACCAACATAGATATTAGCAATTTTTCTGTCTTTTGGAAAGTTATTTATGGTACCAGACTAGGTTTTTGAATAATAATATAGGCAGTATTCTAGTGTTGGTTTTTTTGTGTGTGCTTAGAGCTTAGTTTGGATTCCCTTTCTTTCTCTAGGAAGCTGCCTTGAGGCGTGAGCAAAAGAAATTAGAGAAGAAGCAAATGAAAATGAAACAAATCAAAGTGAAAGCCATGTAAAATCATCCCAGAGACCAGAGTCCTGATGCCACCTGTAAGCTCTGAATTCACTGGAAACAAAAAATACCAGTCCATTTCTCATCTTAAAGTTCAAACACTCGCAAAGTGACTAAGAAATCCTTATTTCATCATCTGTTCTGTTTTTGGTTCAGAGTTTTATAGAGGTTATAGATGGAATGGAAGGACTCTGTTTCAGTAATTCTCTTCCACATAACCAAATTATTTTGATTACTTTATAAAAGGAATGATATATGAGATCTGTGTAGTTTTAAAATATTTTTAAAATTATAACATGAATCATCAGTGCTTTTAGTGCTTTGATGTTTGAAGAAATATCATGAAATTTATAGATACATAATTAGATTGTTGCTTTTTGTTTAAACTGGGTAGTTGCCAAGGCTATAAAGACTGACCCTAAACCAAGATTCCACAAATAACTATTGGAATTGCACAATAAACATTGCTTGGTGTTTTCTTCTGTGTGTACACTAACCTTGTAAAAAAGTAAAATTCAGAACACTATATGTGGTATTGAAATTTCAGGGACTCAAAACGTAATGTAGTTCAGTGTATGTTTTGTAGCTGGGAGGTGCTGATGACAGTGTTATATCTATAGGGTTTAGGATACTTACATGTACATGGAAAATTCTAAGGATAGGTAGTACAGGAGCACAGTTTTTTCCTGAGCTGATACCACAAGCTAATGACAATGTGAATGCTGTATTTAAGTGGTTGTACGTTTTCCTTCAGTAACAAATGCATGAAAAATTAACTGCTTCACCTAGATCAGATCAGTGGTCTACGTGAAGTTACACATGTTTTTCCTTCTTGATTGTTGCAAACTATTGGATGTTCATAGAGAAGCTCTATTCTCTATTTATGGCTGTGTCCCTTTGCTTTTCCTTCTGCTTTTATTTCTTCCACAGTTGAGGCTGGGTATATTCTTTCAAAGAAATAGCCATGAATATGCATAAATATACTTTTAAAAATGAGCTTTCCTAAACCATTGAGAGTTCTTTCTGCCCCTTGAGGAGGGAACTCTTGGGGGAGAGGCCCATCTATCTGCACGAGCATTTAGCTTGTTCAGATCTCTGCATTTTATAAATGCTTCCTAAAGAAAGCATTTTTTAAGTCACTGCTTGTACCAGGTAATTTTTGCTGGGGATGGGAAAAGGTTGGGTTTTTTGGTGGGAGAGGGGTGGGTGGATATTTTTTTGTTGATGCTTTATGTGCAGGTGTGTTCTGAGGCAATAACAAGTTGCTGTGAAAGCAGTATGTGCTGCTGCCTTTGTAACTGCATGGAAACTTTTCACATGGATTTTTTTTCTAAGTTAATGCAGAAATGTGTAAACTGGGAGATGCAAATATAATATTTTTTTTAACAGTTCATGAAATTAAGTTATTAAAATAACAAAAATAACGTAAGATTTAATTACTTTAATGCTGTATAATTCTAGAATGAGCCTTGTTTTACAAAGTTTAAAATACATTTTAGAAATCAAAGTTGATATGCTTAGCTATCTTTTGATTAATAAAAGCTTTCTTAAAGTCCCACACATTTGGACCATGGCAGCTAATTTTGTAATTTAAGCATTCTTATGAACTACCTATGGACATACATTAAACTAATTGACAAAAATCTCAGAGTGCCGCCTTTACTTTTCTGGGGTTGCCCTTCAAGAGTATAAGCCCACAAGAATGTTCTTTCTGTTCAACATAAGTCAGTGCTGAAATGCTTTTCCTTCAAAGGAGTTGACTTTGATAATAAGCCCTTAGTTTGTTAGCAGTTGTTATTTTTAGGATGTTTTATATTTTTAGAGGTGTATATATTATTAATGGGCTCCTCCCCAAAGTCTACCTCTTTAGTTAAGATACCATTATCTCTCCCATGAATGAAAGGAGAATAGTGTTGACTGTCACACATTGGAAAACCACTAAGTCCTCCTTTTGTGCATCGCGTGGGCACTTAGCAAGGACAAAACAGGCACCGAACTGGAAGATAACGACCTGGCTGTCGTGCCAGCAAAGTCGATACTAAGCGCTTGACTTTGGGCAAGTCAGTAACCTCTTTGAGTCTCTGTTCTGTTCCTCTTCCTACAAAGTAAGGATAGTAACTATTTTCTTCCCTACCTCACAGGTAGGTCAACACCAAGAGATATGTGTGAAGTTCTCTCATAAACTACAGTACTTTAAAAATGTGAAGGTATCATCTAGGACTGTTCTCCAAGTGGTACATTTTTGCTTTATTCTCTTTTGCTTTCCTTTCTCCCAATGGAAACCAAGCAGGTCCTTTCAGAGTTCTCTAACTTTATCTGCAAAATGTGACATGGTATTTTGGAATGGGGGTTAGGGCGACAGTAATACCTTTCTGTTTCCTTAGTAATAGAACCTTTTCCTGTCATGCACTAGAAGTTGGAACTCTTCTTTAGATGAGACTTAGACCAAAGAAAAACACTGATTGGTATTCTCTTTCCCCTGTCCAATAGGAATAGGCACATGAAAATTATTTAGAGCAGTGTTATACAAAGGATCTGTTGGTTTTGGTGGGATGGGTGAAATACTGAACTTTTATCATCTCAGATTCTCTTATTATTCCTGTTTCTACTCATTTTGAATGATTTGAAAGGTTGTAAAAGGGAGGAGGCAGTTATACCCAATAGGAGCGGCTTTTATGACACACTGCTAAAACAACAGTGAGAAGTACTACTTTTCTCAGTTTCTAGAATTTGGTGATCAGCAAAAGATTTATTTGTATTTGGAAGAAAGTGTAATGTTTTAATCCTTAGACAAGTTGAATGCCATCTTCTGTGCTCCATTAACTGAGAATACCAATTTCAGAAGAAAACAGACTTTTTTCCTCTGAAAAGCAGAAATGTGCATCTATTATGCCACCTTTAATGGATATTTTTTTATTTTCATCTTTTAAAATTAACTGCCTTTTAAAATTTCACCTCTTTGGTTTTATTCAAATAGTGTGACTTTTATTTAAGACACCCAGGCCTTTTTAAGTAATTAGTTCCTATCACATTTTGAAGTTAAATGCTTAAATCGCTTTCTCTGCATCTTTTTTTGTATGTAACTATCACTTAGAAAGTTTGTAGCAAAGCTAGAAGCCAGTTTTTTGCTTCAGGAAAGAGTCCATGGTTTGTAGCAGGGACCTGGTGCTGTCCTAGTGCTTGAACAAGTCTGTTTTCCTCCTATATGAATGGGCATTCTCCATTCTTCTCCCTTGTGAAATGGCTGTTCAAAGGATATAACAGACAACATGTGTAATGCTCTTTGACATATAAAACATTCTACAAATTAAATAATCCTGCTCAACTTACTAAACCAAAGGTCATAAGCATTTCCCTCATTTGAGTATTCAAGGCAGTTAGTTTTACCTTACCTTTCTGACAATTTATATGGTATCTTGGAGGCCAGTGCATTTAGTTTAAACTGGATGCTTGGAGTTCAATGCAAAACTTGCTCATCACAAGTCAAAAGCAAAGCAGGAAGTCTTTGTAAACTCTGAAAGTTGACCTTTCTTTACACTGGCTTTCTAAGTTATCTGGATTTAGGAGGTCCATTTGCACGGAAAACTAAAGTGAATGTAAATTTGCTCCTTGAAACAGCCACAACAGAAGCTGGGCCAAAAGTTTCTCCAACTAGCTTTTGTGGGCAGTCATGAAGATGGTGAGACCTTAACATCCAGTTAGAGAATGACATGGCTGCTGGGCCAATGGGCTGGGAAGAGCCTCCATGTTTAAATTCCCCATAGCGATGGCTGCATCATTTGGCATCTTTTCAGGCACCGACCTTTTTGGCACCCTCAATTCCAAAGACCACATGTGAAGAAGGTCTTTTCTAAAGAACATCACCAAGAATTTTACTTCAATTTTTACCGTCTTGCTTTTGTCAGTTTACCGTTTGCTGCAGAGAGAGGCCTCTTATTTTGAAAATGAGAGAAAAAGTGTGGGTCCTGCTTTAGAAAGTTAAAGCACTAGATAAGATCAAAGTGATATACATGAGACTGAATGAGGTCCTGAGTCACTGGCAAAGTTTATGTTCACATTCGCATATTTCCGTCAGTTTGGATGTAGCTGAACTTCTCTCCCATCTTGGAAGCTGGGCCAGTATAAATCCGTGTCATGGGTCAGAGCCAGTGTTCGATACTTGACGGGATCTATAAGGAATCTGATAAGGAACCTGAGGCACAGAGAAAGAGTGGGTTTTCCCTTCGCAGCTTGTCAGTCTGGTGCTGGAGGGGCGTTTGGGATGTCTTCAAAGAAAAACGCGAGACAGCTTTTTCCATTGAAGTCCTACCACACGAAATGAAAAAAATAATTTTTTTTTTTAATTAGCCAAGTCATAAGCCAGTGTTTGTTTGCCTTCCTCTAGTCCCCCCTGACTCTTCTTATTGAAATCATCCTACTTCCTTCCTGCTGCAGGGGCGGGGAGGCTCCAGGGAGCCCTTGTCGGACCCCCAGGCCTCACCGACGACAAGCTACGCCTTCGGCTTCCACACACTTGGGGAAAAGGACCCCTTCTGTTAGAGACCGCATGCCCTCCCTCAGGAACGCGCTGCGCCGACCGAGCTTAGAACCGAAGAGGCGCTCTCCGCGCGGCGGGTGCCGGGAGCCTGCAGCTGGGGCCTGGCGCTCCCCACGCGACGCTGGACGCGCTGCGGAGCTGCCCCACCCGCTCGGAGCTGAAGGACTGGGGGCAGGGGGCGGGGCCTCCTCACCCGCTCCGCGGAGGAACCGGGGCGGGGCGGGGCGGGGCGGGGCGGGGCTCTCCTCCACCAGCCCTACCCGGGTCCCGCTACTGCGCATGGCACGTTGCGTACCTCCCCCAACCCCCAGCAACCGGCCTGGCTGCGCGGCCCTAAACTAAGGAGGCGGAGCTGAGACGGGGTCGGGACTGCTTGCTAACTCCAGGACCAGGTACCGGGCTGGCGGGGCCGCCTGGTGCGCTCCAGGGACCAGTCCCTTCTCGCCCTGACGCCGATTCCATCTCCTCAGGGGCGGGCCTTCGTCAGATCGGCCATCCCGCCCCCCCCACCCCCGCCTTCACGGGTCCCTTTTCACCCCGTCCTCCTCGATTCCCGCAGTGAGGGGCTGCAGCCTGAGAGCAGAATAGGCTTGGGCCTGCCGGGGAGACGCCGGAGCGGAGTTGCCGAGCGAGAGAGGCGAGCGCCTGCCTTCCGTATCCATCTTTCCCCCTGACTCCTAGGTGGGGAGCCTGGGGCCCAGGTGTCAGTTTGCCCTGCCCAAAGAGGCGGCCGATCCTGTGCTGACCCCCCTCCCCCCATCCCACAACCGCAATTCCCATCTATCCCAGGCTGGACGGGCAGCGGATCAAACCTCCTTAGGGAGAGAGATTTGGGTGACTCCCTGAATCAGCAAAAACAAAGAGCTTCAAATTGTCTTGTTGTTTTTCAAGAATGTTTCAGTGCCCACAGTAGATTTGGGGTGGAGATGGGCGGTGGGGGTAGGAAAGTGAGCGCGAGGGAAGGGGAGTGGTTAAATAAAATTGTTCAAGTTTCCAGGAAATGGGGGACTAATTTTTCTGCCCAGCCTTTTGTTAAGATAACCTAGCATGTTCTAACTTGACTTTCTCCGAAGAGGAAAAGCCGTTCGAACGGGTCCTTTTCTTACTGTGTAATACCTGTTGAAGTAGAACCGTATTCCAGTATGTATTTGAGGCATTTAGGACAGTCCTTCATTGACTGATTCATACTGTCTAAAGACACCCAAGACTGTTTCTTGTTTCTGAGAAGTGAAGAAACCGAGTCTCATCTGGTTACCTGCCTTAGGCCAGGAACCTATTCAGCTATTAGTTACAGTGCTGAACTTGTTAACTCTGTTCCCCCACCTTTCAACCAGGTTTCTTAGAATATCGTGACTCAAATGCAGTGTTTGTAGTTGTAACCCCAGACATGGAAGTTTAGAAAAACAGCGACAAAAACAGGGAAAAAGGAAAAAAAAAATAAAGCAAGGTAAACGAATCCTTTTCTATTCTATTTGGCATCTGGTCAGCAACATTGTCAAATCAGGCAATGTCTTCTCAGGCAGTCATCACTGTATCTTTGCAAACACAGTCTTGACACTTCTCCCTGGACTTATCTGTAATCACTCTGGTTTCTAGAGCACAGGCTTTGGAACAGATCTAACTGGTCCTCTACCAGTTGCCTGTGTCATTCAGGGCATTTAACCTCTCTGAGCTTTAAGTTCCTGATCTGTAAAATGGGGAAGATAGGACTTATCGTGAGCTGAGCTCTGTGAAGCATTTAGCACAGATCCTTGCACACAGTAAGTTCACCATAAGTGCTTGCTGCTTTTATTATTTTTGCTATGAACAATTTAACAGATATGGGAGTGCCCATTTTATGTGTTGGGCACAGCAGCCCCTGGGAATGCAATAGTGAATAAGATGCACTGGCAATTAACATTGTGGTATGTGTAAGGGTTGAATACAGAGGCTGAACACCTAACGGGGGAGGGAATGGTAATCAGGGAGGACTTCTGTAGCACAGGGTACCTGAGATGAGTAAGTAGTAAGGATCGACAGGTCAAAGTTAACCAGGTTGGGGGAATGAAAGTGGTCCAGGAGGGGAAGCAGAATCTTTAAAGTTTCTCCTTTGGACTTCATTTCCTACCTGCCTTCAAGCATGATGTCCTAAATATGGACCTATCCCAAGACTTGCTTCCCAGCCTTCTGCTTTTTTCTCCCCATTTTCTCCTTCAGTGCATTTGTCACTTGTATAGCTTTGGCTGCTAGCTCCCAGGTCTACATAGCCATCTCTAACGTCTCTCTTACTTTTCTTTTTTTTTTTTTTAAATTTTTTTTAAAGATTTTATTTATTTATTTATTTGACAGAGAGAAAGAGAGAGAGTACAAGTAGGCAGAGGGAGAAGGAGAAGCAGGCTCTCCGCTGAGCAGGGAGCCCGACGCGGGGCTCGATCCCAGGACCCTGGGATCATGACCTGAGCCGAAGGCAGCCGCTTAACCGACTGAGCCACCCAGGCGCCCCCAGTCTTACTTTTCTGACTGCTCTATCTTCTCACTAGAGATAGATAGATAGATAGATAGATAGATAGATAGATAGATAGATAGATAGATAAACTATTTTCTCAACCTCAACATGATTTAAAAACTCGAACTCATCTTCCCACCAGAACCACTTCCACTTCTGAGTTTCCTGTTTTGTCGCTGACACACTACTCTTTCCCAGTTACTTGCGCACAAAAAAAAAAAATCAAGAGTCATCAGAGTTGTCCACAAGTAGAATGGGTTCCGTGATAAGGTAGTGAGTCTCTGGCCAGGGAATTTTTCAAGCAGAGGCTAAATAACCTTACATCCAGGAGATTGTAAAAGCTGTTCCTCCGAAGGGTGGAGGATGGGCTAGATGACTTATGGTGTCCTTACTAACTAAATACAATTTCTTTATTTTTCCTTCATCCCCTATCCATCTATTTCTTAGCATTCCTTTTGCTACAAGCTCTTATCACCCCAAATATGGTCCACTATAGTTGTGTTCTAACTAACATTCCTTTCTCTGGGGATTTTTCACCTCCCATTCTCCCATCTGTTTGCAGATTAATATTCCTTAGAATGTTTCTCAGAACAAGGCTTCTCAAACATTTAGTCAGTACGACGGGCCACAGATCAGCAGCATTACCGTCATGTGGGAGTTTGTTAGAAGTACCAGGCCCCACTCCAGATCTTCTAAATCAAAATCTGCACTTTTAACAAGATCCTCAAATTATTTGAATGTACAATAAAGTTTGAGAGACACGATTTTAAGACCACTGTTTTGTGTTTGTCACAAACAGTTTCTGTTTAAAACCTACAGTGGCGTCCTACTGCCTGGTGAGGAAAATCCATATACTCTAGCATGCACATGAGGCCTCTTCATTGTTCTCATCTATCTGCAGTTGGTTATGTAAAATGCTAACGTACTTCTTGGTATATTTGGTCAGTCAGTCAGTCAACATTACTGAGTGCCTACTACGTGATAGGCACTATTCTAGAAACTGGAAGATATGTGTGTGGACAAAACAAAGTAAGTGCTAAAAATGAGCAGCTAATACTATTTCATGCTTGGAATTCCCATTTTCAAGTCCTATTTGACACTGAGGCCCCATCCCTTCAATAAAACTATCCAGGTCTGTCCCAGCTTATAGTAATTGTCTTTCCCTTTGCTGAACACCATAAGGACTTGCCCATTTCTACTTGTGCATTCCCCAGACCTGCTGAATTAAAAATTTTTGAAGGTGGGAGTTTGAGCATCCATAAGTTTTTATAACTACATGAGTTAATTTTTTTTTAGATTTTATTTATTTATTTGAGAGACAGAGAGAGAGAAACAGCATGAGAGGGGAGAGGGACAGAGGGAGAAGCAGGCTCCCCGCTGAGCCAGGAGCCTGATGTGGAGCTCGATCCCAGGATTCCAGGATCACGACCTGAGCCGAAGGCAGTTGCTTAACCAACTGAGCCACCCAGGCGCCCTACATGAGTTAATTTGAAACACATCCTGGTTTGGGAACCCATGTTCAGATAATTAATGAAGCTGTTGGTGTGGTAGTCTAGGACCAGTTCTTAGGTTTGTTATATTAATATAGATGGTGTTTGGGATTGACTTTATTTTCTATTTCCACTATTTTTCCAGAGTGTAGACAGTTCCTTCTGCAGATAAAAATCATCTTTTAATCTACGTTAATATTCTATATTCTGTTGTAGACTACATATGGATATGGACCCTGCTTCCTCTTAAATTTCTTTTGCACGATGCCTTGTGTTTAATGTTATTAAATAATGCGCACTCTAATAATCTTTTTTAAAAAAAATTCAGTCAATATTTTTACTCTTTCATGCCAGGATATATGATTCTCAACATGGTGATGATCTTCTATAAGGTCTTAGGATAGGGGGCGCCTGGGTGGCTCAGTCGTTGGGCGTCTGCCTTCGGCTCGGGTCGTGATCCCGGGGTCCCGGGATCGGGCTCCGCATCGGGCTCCCCGCTCCGCGGAGGGCCTGCTTCTCCCTCTCCCACTCCCCCTGCTTGTGTTCCCTCTCTCGCTGTGTCTATCGCTGTCAAATGAATACATAAAATCTTTAAAAAATAATAAATAAATAAATAAATAAGATTAGGATGGGGTGAGGAAAAATGCAATTTGATAAAAATCTGTAGGTGATTTTGAAAGGCCTCCTCTCTCCCCTGGATTGAAAACCATTGCTTTGATGTCTCTGAAGCAGTTCTAAGGATTCCAAGAACTCCATGTATCTGACTAAGTTCCCACTCCCATTGCTACACTATATACTACCACAATCCCTCAAAGGAAATGTGGCAGGGATTTTTTCTAGATTCTTCAAAAGTGTTCATGATTATTTGTTTTAGTCATTTTACTTTTAAAGTCATTTTGTTGAGATATAATTTACCTACAATAAAATACACCTACATTAAGTGTATGGGTTGTTGAGTTTCAACATACACTTGTGTAACTACCACACAATCAAAATACAGAATATTTTCAGCACCCAAAAATTCTCATGTGTCTCTTTTTTTTTTTTAAAGATTTATTTATTTATTTTGAGAGAGTGAGAATGAGAGAGAGAGAGAGAGAGAGCACATGAGAGGGGGGAGGGCCAGAGGGAGAAGCAGGCTCCTCGCCGAGCAGGGAGCCCGATGCGGGACTCGATCCCGGGACTCCAGGATCATGACCTGAGCCGAAGGCAGTCGCCCAACCGACTGAGCCACCCAGGCGCCCTCATGTGTCTCTTTGAATTTGGTCCCTCCTCTCACCCTTGGTCCCAGGCAACCAATGACCTGCTTTCTGTCAGAATATTTTTACTTTTTCTAGAATTTCATGTATATGGAAACAATATGTAGATTTATGCCTGACTTTCACTTAACATGTATCAGTAGTTTGTTCCTTTTTATTGCTGAGTATTATTCCACTGGTGTATATGCCACATTTTGTTTTTTCATTTGCCAGTTGATAGACATTTGGATTGTTTCCAATTTGGGGCCATTGTGAATAATGCTGTTATGAAAATTCATGTACAAGTCTATGTGAACATATATTTTCATTTCTTTTGTTGGGTTGTAGGAAGCTAATAAACTATTTTCCAAAGTGCCTATTATAGTAGTTTGCATCCCCATCAGCAATGAATGAGAGTTTCTGTTGATCAAGATCCTTGTCAACATTTGGTATTGTCAGTCTTTATTTTTAGCCATTTCAGTAGGTGTGTAGTGGTATCTCATTGTGGTTTTATATACATTTCCCTGATGACAAGTGATGTTGAGCATCGTTTGATGTACTTAGTGGCCATTCCTATATCTTCTATTCAAATCTGTTGCCCATTTTTTAAATTGAGTAAGACTGTCTTATTGAGTAGTAGAAATTCTTTAAATATTCTGTATATAAAATGTTTCATAGACACACACATACACACACACACACACACACACACTATTCTCTCCCAACTTGTTTATTTTCTTAGTGGTGTCTTTTGAAGGCAGAAGTTTTTAATTTTCATAAAGTTTAATTTATCATATTTTTCTTTTTTATTTCATGCTCTTGACATTCTTTTTTTTTTTAATTTTTACTTATCCCAACATCATGAAGATTTTCTCCTGTTTTATTTAGCAGTTTTAACTTTTTCTTTAGTTCTATGATCCATTTCAAGTTAATTTTTGTGTGTCATATAAGGTAAGGGTGAAAGTTCATTTTTTCTAAATAGATATTAATTTGTATCTAGATTACAGATACACTCCCATGGAATTACTCTGGCCCCTCTCTTGAAAATTAATTGACCATACATACATGGATCTATTTCTGGATTCTCTATTCCATTTCATTGATCCATTTGTCTATCCTAGAACAAAGTACACTGTTTTGATTACTGTAACATTAAAGTAAGTCTGGAAATCATGTAATGTAAGTCTTCTAACTTTGTTCTTTTTCAAAATCATGTTGGCTATTTCAGGTCCCTTGTATTTCCATATAAATTTTAAAATCAGCTTATCAATTTCTTTTTAAAAGTCCGCTGGGATTTTGATTGGGATTGCACTGAATCTATAGATCAATTTGGGGGGAGTTGACATCTTCACTTCAGTGAGTCTTCCAATCTATGAACATAGCATATCTCTTATTTAGCTTATCTTTAATACCTCTTAGCGATGTTTTATAATTTTATTTTATTTATTTATTTAATTTTTAAAGATTTTATTTATTTATTTGACAGAGAGAGACAGCGAGAGCAGGAACACAAGCTGGGGGAGTGGGAGAGGGAGAAGCAGACTCCCCGCTGAGCAGGAAGCCCGATGCAGAACTCGATCCCAGGACCCTGGGATCATGACCTGAGCTGAAGGCAGACGCTTAATGACTGAGCCACCCCGGCGCCCTTTTTTATAATTTTAAACATACAGTTTTAAAAAACATACAATTTTAAAAAAATTATTCCTAATTATTTTATGTTTTTGTTGGTATGGTAGTTTCATTTTTTTAAATTTCATTTTCTAATTATTTATTGCTAGTACCTCGAAATACAATTGGATTTTGTAATTGACCTTCTTTCTAAATTCATTTTTTTATGTCTAATGATTTTTTTGTAGAATACTTAGAATTTTCTACATACACAATCATGTTGTCTATGAATAGAGTTTTACACCTTCTTTTCCAATCTGTATGCCTTTTGTTCCTGTTTTTTTCCTTTTTGCATTGGCCAAGACCCCTAGTACAATGATGAACAGAAGTGATAAGAGCAGACATTCTTGTTTTGCTTCTGTTCTTATAGGAAACTCACTAATTCCTTTTATTACTAAGTATGGTGTTAGCTATACATTTTTCATAATATCTTTTTATTTTATTGTTGTTTTTAAAGATTTTATTTTTTTATTTATTTGAGAGAGAGAGTGTGAGTGGGGGGAGGAGCAGAGGGAGACGGATAAGCAGTGAGTGCAGAGCCTGACATAGGACTTGATCTCAATCAACCCTGAGCCGAAATCAAGAGTCTGATGCCCAACTGACTGAGCCACCCAGGCACCCCCTTCATACATATCTTTTACCAAGTTGACTTGGTAAATTCTATTTCTATTCTATTCCTATTTGACTTATTCCTAATTGACTGAGAGGTTTTTTAAAATCATGAATTGGTATTGAATTTTTTCAGATGCCTTTTCTCTATCTATTGAGATGATTGTATTTTTTTTTCCTGTTTACTCAGTTACTCTGGTAAAATTACATTGATTTTTTTTTTTTTTTAGATTTTATTTATTTGACAGAGAGAGTGAGCGAGCACAAGCAGGGGGAGCAGCAGGCAGAGGGAGAGGGAGAAGCAGGCTTCCTGCTGAGCAGGGAGCCCAACGTGGGGCTCCATCCCAGGACCTTGGGCTCATGACCTGAGCTGAAGGCAGTCGCTTAACCAACTGAGTCACACAGGCGCCCGGATTCTTTTTTTTTTTTTAAGTAAGTTCTAACGCCCAGCATGGAGCTTGAACTCATGACCATGAGATCAAGAGTCACATGCTCTACCTACTGAGTTCATTTTTTTTCTGCCCACACCACCATTTTTTTAACTCCTTAAAATTGGTTGTTTTTTATTTGCAAACAACTTTGGACAAAAACAGTATGGTATACATTGATTCATTTTTTAGTGTTAAAACAGTCTTTAGTTCCTGAGATAAACCCCAGTTGGTCATGATGCATTATGCTTTTAGCCATTCTAGATATAATTTTTTTTAAAGATTTTATTTATTTATTTGAGAGAGAGAGAGATCACAGAGGCAGAGGGAGAGGGAGAAGCAGGCCCGCCGCCAAGCAGAGAGCCCAAGGTGGGGCTCGATCCCAGGACCCTGAAATCATGACCTGAGCTGAAGGTAGATGCCCAACTGACTGAGCCACCCAGGTGCCCATCTAGATATAATTTTTAATAATAAGTTAAGCAAACATAAAACAAAATCAGGATAATATGAAAAAAGATACATTTGAGAAATGGCAAAAGCTCTTGGAAATGTGTAACCAAAATTTAAAAATTAGTAGAAGGGTTAGAAAATAAAATTGAAGAAATCTCTTGGAGAGTTGTAAAATAGGAGTGAAACAAGTATAAATTAATTCTAGATAATTCTAAAAGTATAATTTATTAGGAATTTTATAACATGAAAACAGAGAAAATGGAGGAGACAAAATTATCAAGGCAATAATACAAGAATATTTCCCAGAATTGGAAGATCCAAATTTCTACACTAAAAAGGCTAAGGTAGGGGAGCCTGGCTGGCTCAGTTGGTAGAGTATGTAACTCTTGATCTCAGGGTCGCGAGTTTGAGCCCCATGTTGGGTGTAGAGATTACATAAAAAAACAAAATCTTAAAAAAAAAAAAAGGGTAAGTGCAACTGGTCTAGAAAGCAACTAGTCTGGATTGTAGCAGGGGGATGGAAGGCCTTGGAAAGGCAATCTCTAGGAAAAAATCGGAATGAATGAGTTCGAATGTATGGTAAAAGATATTGACTGATAAGACAAATAGCAAAGATGTAGCACTTGGAGAAAGTTAGTAATAGCTATGTGGGAAACCAAACAAGTAAAAAAAGTATGAGTCCATTATCAACTCTAGGAAAACAAATGGCATACAAGAAAACAGATGTGGTCGTCTTTGTTTGCCTCAGCTCTGAACCATGTTTCCACAGTCATAACAATGTAAATGTGGACTATTGATTCAATTAAACATTATGCCAGAATTTTGTTGGGAGAATGAAGGCAGGAAAGTAGGGTGCAGGAAGGTGATGTAGGAGAGCTTAGTCTTCATCTATCATAGTAGAAAGGTAGTAGATAAATCTCTAAAATGGATAAGTCATGGCCATATAAACATTATTTAAGAATGATAATAAAAAGCAAGATAAACAGCCAAAAGAATCGAAGGTAATTGCTTCTGGGAAAGGATCAGTGGGGAATTGGGTCAAGAGAAATTTAAAAATTAAAGAAGAAAACCATATTAATAACAAACCTGTCTTTTCTTACTGAGATTGCAATATTTCCGAAAGTACTTGGCCAGTTTTATTGTCAGTGAAAGTTTCTCTAAACCAGTCTTTAGAATCTAGAAATTTATAGGTCTGCTACAGTGCTTTGAGTGGTAGACTCATAGCAAGTTTTTGTTAATCAAAAGGCATTTCTGGGGCGCCTGGGTGGCTCAGTTGGTTCAGCGACTGCCTTCGGCTCAGGTCATGATCCTGGAGTCCCGGGATCAAGTCCTGCATCGGGCTCCCTGCTCGGCAGGGAGTCTGCTTCTCCCTCTGACCCTCTTCCCTCTCGTGCTCTCTGTCTCTCATTCTCTCTCTCTCAAATAAATAAATAAAAATCTTTAAAAAACAAAAACAACAAAAAAACAAAAGGCATTTCTGTAAAAGGAGATTTGACTAACCTGTTTCTATTTTCCTTTTAGGTTTAAATTTTTGAAATTGAAGTAGGTCTACACATTAGGAACTCATGTCTTTTCTTGTAAGTAAACCAGAGCGAATTAGGGTGAGTGTTTCTATTCTTCTGGCTTTACTATTTTTATTTTCTGTAAAGTAATGTGTTTTGACAGATACTGTAGGTGGTTTTTTTATGTGATGTTCAGAATCCTATGTAAGTGAGGCATGTAGGAAGTAAAGCAGATATGGCAACCACCACTCCTGAGAAAAGAGCTTGCAGGCAGAGGCTGACCAGAGACACTAAATACACCCACCAGCTTGACAGGTAGAGAAGAAATGGTTGCTTATTTTATGAATATCACTCATACAAAATTAAATGAATCGATGTCCCTTTTCACTATAGATATGTAATTGCTAATAAGCTTCCTATTTCCTATGTATTTTCAGTGAGTTTGTGTGTTTTAAAAATCAGGATCAAATTGTCATTATTGGAACACTTTTTCTAAGTATAATCATAGGTTTTAATTAAAGACTTTTTGAACATGAAAAATGTTATTACACCTGAAAACTTTACCAGCTAAAATGACCTCAAGGACAAATACTGGATTTAGCTTCTTTATAAGCTTCCATGACTTCATAAAAGAGCACTGTGTTTTATTTATTATCAAGTATTTATTTCTAAATGCAGTAGTAATTATTTGAAAATTCTGTAACAAGGAAGAAGTGCTATATGACACATGAACATACCACTCTCTTTAAATATTAAAGCATATGTTATATTTGTGATACAGCACATACTATTTTTTTACACCAAGTTTTTTATTTTTGTTTTTTTTAATTTAGAAAAAAATTGATATAGAGAAGACAGAAAATGATGTTATAGTTCCAATTCATAACCAATATTATGCAATTTATTTCTGAATATTAATATTCTTTTTTCTTATGTTTGTGTATATAAGAATAATTTATACTGGAAAGAGTAGACTTCACTGTTAAGTAAGAGGAAAAACAGACTCTCTCCTTAGCCTGAACTCTGCCTGGTGGAAAGAATGCCCCAAGCCAAACTTGAACACTAGTCCTTAAGTGAAATTCAATCTTGATTCCATTACTTTTACATACGAGCTTCTTTTCTGTGTCAACCTCGCCCGATTCATGTGAAACCAGACCACTGATCAGTATTAAGGAAATCCAATACTCATTTGAAATGGGATAGTAAAGTGAACCATGATTGGTGAAGTTAGTGTAGTCCTTGTAAACCTGGTAGAAAATATAAGTGGTGATGTCTTTAGAAATCCTAGTGGATGAAAGAAGAAGCAGCTATTTTCTTTTACAAACAGAGGCTGTGAAAAACTGTTTCATCTCTATTTTCCGTATTATGAATTCCAGTAGCATTTTTCACATTGGCATTCATGATCCAAAGCATCTATAATAGACAGCCATTGATTGAGTCAGATGGAACCAGAAGGTAGTTTTATGTATAGGAAGGACAAAAAACCTTCTTCATTATTAGGGCCAGTACTATGTTTCTCATCTGTCTGTCAAATTTAAGAATTATTTATCAAATTAGGCAAAAAAGAATAGAGAAAGGAATTAATCTATTGTTTTCAGTTGATTTAAATCCAGGATTCTTTTTAAAATTGTTCCATAAAAATGCATCTTAACCATACGGCATGATTCTGTTTTTGTAGTTTATCTGTCTAATGGCTGATAGCTAATTTTTTGTGGCTTGGAAGAAATACTAATTCTCTTTGGGGTTTTCCTCTTTAGCGGTGGGTCTCGGAAAAGTTCATTGTTGAGGGCTTAAGAGATTTGGAGCTATTTGGAGGTAAGTACAGTATGGCATTTAGCCATCACTTCAGGGTAAATGTCACTACTCTTGTTGACTAAATCAGTTTCTAGAAATTAGCAATTGTAAGGGCAAGTGTAAACGACAGTTGTTCTATTTGTTTGGCTCCATTTTGAACCCGTGGTTTCCCAAAGATTTGAGGACTCATCTGGCAGTTGACCTTGGCCTGTCTTGATTGTTAGAAAGTCAGTATTTACTTAAAGGCATATTTATTTCTTCTAAGTATTCGTCCAGTTGAAAGACATACTCTTAAAGAAAAAAAACTAAGTGTTTAAAAGCTCTAACCTTGAAAATTTTAAAAATAAAATGATTAGTCAGAACCAAGGTAGCAATGATACAAAAGTTCTGGTTTACTGATCAATCTAGTTGACTCATCTTTTCATGGTAGAAATTATGAGACTTAAGAAGTCTTAAGGAAAAAAAATCTGTCAGGACAAAAATACTGACTTCCTGTTGTAAAATCCACATGCTGATTTTAGAAGTCGTAACCTTGCAATTTTGAGATTTGACAGGGCCAGGCATTCGCCTTTGATTCTTTTCGCATTGAGCCTTTTTGAGAACTGTGATCTTAATTTAAGGCAAAGAAAATTCTTTTCTATACAAATAATAGTAGTAGAACCCCATTCTTTGTGTCTGAATACCAAGACACTCTCTTGAGCTAAAGAAAAAAGTTATCAGATTGAGTGCATTGGTTGACTGATCCAAACAAAATACCCTCAGATAGACTTAAGTCATTGAGAACTGAAACTTGTTAGTTACTAGGTGATACCTGTTATATTTATTTTCCTTAATGCCACTCAAAGACCTTCCAGAGGAATATTATTTGTTATGTTTTAGACAAATGAGAGTTTAGAAAAATGATGAGTTATTTTCGTTTTAGTTCTAAAGAATAAAAATTAGCTGCAGAGTAAAGGAAAAGCTAATGGGAAAAAAAAATACTATATTCTGGTCCTGTTCTGATTTTCTTCTCATCATTAATGGGAATACCATGGTTTAAAAGTAAACATTGGCACTGATAAAAATTGAGTTGGAAGAGTCCAGTTTACAATTAATTAGTTAAAAATATTCCAGTATATGTGAATTGAATTAAGGATTTTGGTTTCAGCGTCTTGAGTGTAGGATCTCTGGAGGTCTTTTGACAATTTCCTAGTCTCTGATCTGAGGAGAGTGAAGGGATTGTTCTGTATATTGTTTACAGCTTGATGAAGTATATATTATCAAGTTTTATACAACTTAGAATTTGCCTTCTGCTCTACACAATTGGACTTGATTTCCTTTTATCTATTCAACTTGGCTTCTTACCTTTAACAGACTGTCTTAAGCAAATGCACCTGCCATTTGTGTACCAGAAAACTAATGTCCAAAGCAAAAAAAAAAAAAAATCTTGTTTTGACAAACTGAGGCTAATCTACTCTGCAGCCAGTCTCCTCTAACAATACAGTTGGATGCTCTGATTTCTAATTTAAGATATTTGGAAATGTGTTATCATTCCAATACTTTCCAGTTAAAAATCAACTTTGATGATTTTTCTCACTTTCATAGAATGATGAAAATAAAAAGTACAGATACATAATTTATCTGATTTAAGGGAAGAAAGTTATATCAGTTGTCCTTTGCTTTATTTGTTTTCACCTAGAGTAGCAGAGGGCCAAAAAACCCTTGCTTTATTTGTATTCAGAATAGAATGCATGTGACTGGAGAATCTAACTGGGTAATGGTCCCACATATGTTGCTGTATTAAAACCTTCTTTGCCTTTTTTTTTGAAAGCCTATTTTCAAGTCCCTGCACTTTCTGGGAAATAGCCAACCATCTCTGTAACTTTGTAATGAATGTTTTGTTCACAGTATAAGACTCTGAAACCAGCCTATTGAAAGTAACATTGTGTGCTGATGCAAAGTAAATATAAGACTAGAATTATAGCAGTTGAGTTATAGTTGCCAAAGAATACCCAGAGAATAGTAGCCTTGCCATGTTTTGAAGAGCCGGAGATTCATGTTTAAAACCCCACCGATGTATAGCGTTTTGACTATGGGTCTCTATGTGCATGCGTGTGTGTACGTGTGTGTGTGTGTTCATATGTAACCCTGTGGGCACTTTTTACCATAATGACTCTTAAGTGGTTTCCATAAAGAAATGTAGTCTTAAGTGCAATAATTGCTGTTGTGAATGTGGATGTGTCTTCTGCTAAAAAACAAAATGCCAACAATCAATTTCTCTACTCCAGAGCAGCCTCCGGGTGACACTCGGAGAAAAGTAAGTGACTTTCTAGGCTCTAGCACTATGGCTGTTGCATGGGGATGACTTCTTGTGGAAACTTGTGTTTTTGGTTGGCTTATCATTTTATGTTTCTGCTTACCTCAGTGAGTTTTATTTGTAGTGTAATTCTTTTACTTGTGGAAATTCAGGTTTCACCCTGGAAAGATTTTGATGTGTACTTTGGAAGCTGAAAAAGTCTCAGGCACTTTTTGTCTCTCTCTTGAGGATTAAGGTCTCCTCCTCTTCTTGACACCCTACCAGTCCCCCACCACCCTCTCCAAAAAAAAAAAAAGAAAGAAAGAAAGTTTCAACAATCTAGATGTGGTTATCTTTTAGTGGCCAGTGGTACTACATTTTCCATCCTTGGTCTATTGCTAATCAATTTCAGTCCACAGAGATCATACAGAGCTCTACCTAGATTATAGGCAGTACCTCAAATCTCCTACCTTAAAAACAAAACCCCACATTAAAAGGTACAAAACAGAGATGCATTTTTTTTATTGGCAAAAGTTGGAAGACTCCTGCCCTGCTTCCTAGTCTTGTAGTTAATTTTACCAAAGTAAGTAACACCAGATGTGCACAGTCTACCAAGCTATTTTTGATAATGTGAATCAGTGTCTTATAAAGAGAGGGGATAAGAACCCTTTTCCAAATAGACTTCTTAGTCTTTTCAGATGATAGGCATCTGTGCCTTTTACAGGCAGCCCCACAGTTGAAGGAGGGTGATGTTGACTAGGAATTTCTCTCTGAGTGAAGCTTTGGCAGATCGAAATATGTTCCAGTCAGGAGACTAAAAAACATTCCCTGTACCATCAGTTAGATATTTCTCCCGTATAGAATGCCCATTATATATAATTTTTATATTTTCACAGCTGCCGGTGTTATGCCAAGAGTTATCCTGTGTGAAACCTGGTTGGGGGGGGTGAATATAGCATTTCACAAATATTGTCTTTGTGTGCTCTACTGTACTTTGTCTTAAACTCTTTAAACAAAGTTATTTAATGGTCATTTCTGGCTATCAGTAGCTTATGTATTTTCCAAACGCTTCAAAATGAATAAATGCTTTTCCTGGTAGGGGAAACTAAGAAGCTTTGCTAGAATTAGTTTCTCTAGACAATTTGAGATTGTACATCACACTAATACAACTGTGCCATGCTGTGTTTAAAGAGAATGGACTAAACATTTCATCCTTTTCATCTGAATTTTGGCCTTTTCTAACTCTGGAACAGTATACTGAACTAACCTGCCTCTCTTGTGGCAATATCAGATGCGACCTCTTCCTTTCAAAATACTGTCTTTGTTTGTTTTTCTAAATAAAGGTTGGTTTCTCTCTGAGTTCAGACCTACAGAACATCTACAAACTAGAACTTGCCCATTTTAGGATCATTGCCAGTGAGATGGGGACAGCAACCACTAGACTAGTTCACCTCATGCAATTCCTGATTGCCAAGAACTCACATTCCCAATTACCTAAAGAATTTTATTTCCTAAAACTAACACTTTTGAGTCATTTTCTGTAGTCAACAAAGATAGTAGAAATATTTGCCAACTTACTACCTAATCATACCAGTAGTTTACTACATCATTTCCTACCTAGGTTCAACAAGAGTGTGTCTTTAATGTATAGCCTACTAGGCAGTATGTCTTCTATGCACTTGTAGCAAGGAAAAGGGATATAGGTCTTAAAAAAGTATCTGTGAAATGGTGGTTAACATAACAATAAAAAAATTATTAAAAAAAAAAAGTATCTGTCAGTAGTTTTTCCCAAGGGAGTTATTTAAAATGCATTTAATAAGTACTTTCATCTCACAATTCCAGCTGTCCTTCATAGTCTCTTTTTCAAATAGAGAAATATTAAGGAGTTTGCCTCGAAATCAAAGGAGAGAAGACATTCAAATATATAGTAGTTTTAGATTTGTTCTCATTGGGACTATATTGCTACCTGCTAAAAAATGCAGTCCTTTCTCACAGGCAGGTACCAGATTCTGATCTACAAAGTGCCCCTAGTAACAAGGGATCTAGTGAGTGTGTTGCATGAGGGCAGGTGTTTCCAGTCTAGGTCAATATGTTGAACTCTGTCTCTGGTGGAACTGACTGGTACATGTCCCCTACTCTTCTCTTCAGCTCAAGGCAATGACAAGGTCATGAGCAGGAGACTTCAGTTTAAACTGGACCCATGCAAACCTGTTTGCATGGGTTAAATATAGCAAGTCGGGGATGTGGGACAGGGTGAGGTCATTAGAAGTGGGAAGGGGCTGAATCACGTGGATCCTCACAGGCCAAAGTAGGGGCTTAGGGTCTGCAAGCCACTCCCTGGGTTTTGTGTTAACCGATGACACCGATTTTACTGAGGAGTAGATTAATACTTGAGAAAACAGGATCCGCAGAAGAACAAGAATAGGTGCCGATGGTGAGGGGTAGGAAGTTAAGAAGATGGGACTCAAGACTAATTGAGCTTGCAGCTTGTCGGTTCTAAACACATGGTGAGTTGCCACTTCAGAGCTCCTGGTTTGGGCTTTTTGCTCACATTTTGTCCCTTGGTGGTGTATCTCTCACCTCTCTGAGGCACTTGGGACGTAGTAACCAGTATCTTAGGATTATTCTGAAGACCAGACAGTGTCAAGAGGCTATAATGGCTATCGATGATCATAGAGTTTGTTTTCAGAGCATTTGAAAACACAGATAACTGTAAAAACCAAAATCAAACCAACCTTAACTATTTATCGAGCTCTTCTTAGGATTCTGTTTTCTTCGTTTTCTCTGTTCCATCTTATGTGTTGAAGGGGAGTGACCAAACAGTAGGCAGCAAAAGAGGGAGGAGAAGAATAGAATTCATATTAATTGAATACGTACGAGACACCAGGTAGCACTAAGCTCTTTACATTTTTCATCTCATTTAATCGCCACAACAACCCTATGAACTGGGAATTATTCCACTAATGAGATAACAGAGATCCTAAGAGTTTTGAGTGACTTTTCCCAGGGTCACAGAGCAAGTGGTAGACCAGAGTTCAAGTTCTGGCCCTTCAGCCTATAGTCTTTGTATTATACCATTTGTCTTACTTAAAATAGCCTTCCCCAAATTATCTTTTCCAAAATTTAACAAAAGGTTCTTGGGATGAGTAGATTTGGGAAATGCTAGGTTAAACAAAGTTAAACAAGTTTCCTTATTATAAAACTTGTCAAAGCCTTTATATGCGAGCACATCTTTTTTTTTTTTTTAAGATTTTATTTATTTATTTATTTGAGAGGGAGAGAATGAGAGATAGAGAGCACGAGAGGGAAGAGGGTCAGAGGGAGAAGCAGACTCCCTGCTGAGCAGGGAGCCCGATGCGGGACTCGATCCCGGGACTCCAGGATCATGACCTGAACCGAAGGCAGTCACTTAACCAGCTGAGCCACCCAGGCGCCCTATATGCGAGCACGTCTTATGATTCTCCATGAGAAAGAAAATGTTGCATTTTCTCGTTTAATTGAACGTGTAAACTGTTTCTATGCATTAACTGCCAAGATCTGTGTTCCAGGGGGCCTACTTTGGGGAAATCTTGCATTAGAACAACCAAGTAGAAAAATGGACAAGAGACACAAAGAGGCAGTTTCACCTAGGAGAAACCCACATGGCCGATAAATACATGAAAAGATGTTCAACTTCATTAGTAATCAAGGAAATATAAATCAAACCCACAATGACACTGGCAAAAATTAAGTCTGATTAAGTGATAGAGGAAAATGGATCAATGAGAACATACATATGATGCTGGAGGGAGTGGAAATGGGTATAACCATTTTGGAAAACAATTTTGCATTAGTTTGTAAAGTTGATTGTTCATTTACTCTGTAACCTAGCAATTCAATTTCTGGGCATAAGCTTTAGAACAGCTCTTGCATATGCGCATCAGGAGACATCCAAGTGGGTTTCTAATAGCACAGTTCATAATAGCAGAACCGAAAACAACCCAAAAAGCCCATCAACACTGGAATAGATAAACTGAGATACATTCACAAGATGACTATTACACAACATGGGTGTATAGCATGGCTAAATACAACAATATGGATGAATCTCAGAAATAGAAAAATTGATTGAATTAGAAATTTGCTGACAGGGCTCTCTTTTGCTTGACGAGATTCCTCTTACTGTCATAGTTACGTGGTGCAAGAGGAAGAACCCCATGTGGTTTCTTTCCCCATTGGCAGCATGAACTCTTGAAACCAGATGTGCTTGAAACGTCAGGGACCCCCAGCAAGGCAATACCACTGTGTCAGAACATTCTGAACTCACTCTCTTCTGGCTAGTGCCGAGGCAGGGGCCTCTCGTGTGTTCACAGAAACCTTTTCCTACCTAGCGCTCAGCTTTAGGAATATAGCATATGAAATTTGAGCTAGCCTAAGGTTCTCCATTTCAGTAGGACACACATCTGAAGAAAGAGGATCCAAAAGAAAGAAAAACGTGGCCCCGAAATCATGCAAATACATTTAAGTCTCGAAGAAGGAAACAGAGCCTTTTGAGCTGAAGGAAGAGCTGTTGGTCTGCCATTGATTTTGCTGGGCACTCTTCTTCCGGACCTCAAAGGCCAGAGGTGTGATGCCCACATCCTAACTAGCTGGAGTCCAGCTTCATTTGTGGCAGGAACAAGGAAGCAGGTCACTTCCACCGCCTGGAATGAGACCCGACAGCTCTGTTCCTTGCCTGCAGCCCTATGTGTTGGCTGGGGTTTTTGTTTTTGCTTCACTTGGAAATATCAGAGAATAATTGGTCTGGGCTCTTGGTTTGCTAAAGAGAGGACTTCTTATGGCCACATTTTCCCCATAGCAAGATTCAGCATGTGATCTTTGGAATCTTGTGGTCAGGACCTTAATATAGGAACCGCCGCCCCCCCACTTCTCCATGCCCCTTCTCTTTTCTAAACATGGCTTTCTTCAGACATCCTTTCCCCAGATAAGAATTTCATGGTTTTTAGCAAATGAGCCAGTTGTTGGGAAGGACAAGCAAATCAACAGTCGACTGAAACTGGGCCTGTCCCCCACCCCTATTCCTAGATGGTGCTCACACTTACTGGCTCTGATGTTAGAGCTGGTGACTACATTGACCATCTGGTGTTTCACATTTCTCATCGAATAGTGCTGGAACAATTTCTTTGACCCAGAGTCAGAATTTGTATGTTTAGATGCCAGTCTCCTCATGGGTCTGAATTACCACCCCCCACTCCCATCCCACACCCAATATTCTCTTACGAACCTATTTTTCTTTTTCTTTAGACCAATGAGGCGAGCTCAGAGTCGATAGCATCCCTCTCTAAACAGGAGATCATGAGTAGCTTCCTGCCGGAGGGAGAGCGCTATGAGCTACTCACCGTCATAGGTAAAGTCCAGGGACTGCCATTCTTGGGCTCCAGGGCACCGCCACGGTATCCTCTGCACCCCCGATGAATGTGTGCCAGAGGCTGTCAGCTAGTTAGCAGGAATCATGGTGACAAAACAACCTTTGGTGGGTCTCCTTTGCTCTCGTCTTCCAAGTATGGGAAGAGAGATCATGTTACCAGGAGAGAAGCTCTTTCGCAATTTTTTTCTTTTTGGCTTGTACGATTCTGATGCCCTGGGCCATAGTCAGTTCAAATGGTTGGCTGAGAAGGAACTGGTAGGAGACGAATCAAGAAATGGCAGCCACAAGGGTAACAGTAGTGACAGTTTTAACTTGAATCTTCTTTTTAGATCAAGTCTCTTTAAGGCAACCTTTGTTGCTGTTGTCCTTGTTTATGGCATTCCTCTTTTCTTTTAGGCAAAGGATTTGAGGACCTGATGACCGTGAATCTAGCAAGGTACAAACCAACAGGAGAGTACGTGACGGTACGAAGGATTAACCTGGAAGCTTGTTCCAATGAGATGGTGACGTTCTTGCAGGTAATGAACGGTGAATGGGGCACTGGAAGGGTGGGCTCTTAGTTCCAGTAGTAATCACCAGGCGTCTCTCACATCCGTCTTCTGAAAGCAGCTGGCAGAAAACAAAGGTGGACCAAACCAAGACGTTACAGAAGCTCTTCATGAAAAGCCATGGGCATCTGGCAGTAAGGATTCTATAAAGCTGCTCAGGCCAATTTATAGTCCCCTCTTCTCCGAAGACTGCTTTGTGGCTCATTTATTCCTTTGTTATTCCTAGAGGCTAAGTAACTTGCCCGTGGTCACACACGGGATTCAAACCCAGGCAGTCTTGTTCCAGATTCAGGGCAGCCTGCTCTGCTGCGACAGCCATCTGCTAGCTGTCATGGTCCTGTTGGCCCAAGGTTCCCTTCTGTTGGAGAGGCAAGTAGCTGCCCTCCTGTGAAACAGGGAGAGACCACAGATCTAGTAGCTGGCCAGGGACCGGACTCACCGTCACTGATGCAGGCTTGCACCGGGAACCCGATTCAGGGCCTGGGTCAGGGTATTTTCAGCGGCGGACATGCAGCCTCTCCCCCTGCTTCATTCATAACATGTCTCTGAATTCATGCTTATCTGATGGTGCTCTAATACCCACCCATTCATGTGGTCAGAGTCTGAGGATGGAATCGAAAGTCAGTCCTGGCTTAGGTATTTGGGAAGAAAGATGTCTGAGTTTATTCCAGAGCATGTTGGACTTTAGGATTCTTTTTTTAATTATTTTTTTTAAGATTTTATTCATTTATTTGACAGAGAGATAGAGAACACAGATAGTCAGAATGGCAGGCAGAGGGAGAGGGAGAAGCAGGCCTCCCGCCGAGCAGGGAGCCCGGTGCAGGGCTCGGTCCCAGGGCCCCGGGACCACGACCTGAGACGAAGGCAGCCACTTAACGACTGAGCCTCTCAGGCGCCCCTCTTTTTTTAATTCTTTGGAGCAGTGGACAGGTAGAAGGTATTGCCTCTTTGGCCTTAGCTCATGTCCCAGAGGCCAGGACTCCGGAGTTTCTGTAGCTCTCTTGTCCAGATTTACTTTAAAATCCCATAGGTTTGACACTTTCCATAGCTGCCCTCTCGATCCCAGGTTGCTGGAGACGTCCCTTCGGATATCTAGTAGTTTATCATTTGCTCTCTGGTGCTTTGTTTCCTTGTTCTATCGATTACAATACTTTCCTTTATTATAGGAAAACATTTTTTGTTTTCTTATCTTAAAGAAGAGTTCTGTGCCTTGGCTGTTGAAGTGGAGCTCAGCTCTAAGCGTATTGCTTCCTAAGTCTTCAGTCAGCAGTTGGTTCTCATCGTTTCCGAGGTGGCGAGCTGGGACCCTCTAGTGTGTTGTTCGCGGTTTCCCTGTGGGTGGGGAATTTTTCTTGAGGCTCTTTAAGCTCGGCTGGTGGAGCCAAACTCAGGCAGATGCTGGCAGAACGGTGCTGGCCTGCCTGTGGAGACCGCAGAGCCTGGCTTCTCTCCTCTGGCTGGCCACCGGCGTAGGCTGCTCCCAGGACTCTGAGAAGAGCTTCTGGAAGTACTAGGTCCCCATGTTACTCATGCCGTTCCATGCCCTTGATTCTGACTTCCACTTACCATTGCTTTCAGGGGGAGCTTCATGTCTCTAAACTCTTCAGCCATCCCAACATCCTGCCATACCGAGCCACCTTTATTGCAGACAATGAGCTGTGGGTTGTCACATCATTCATGGCGTATGGTGAGTGGGACAGGGGTCCTGGCAGAGAGGTGTTCTGAGAGCGCTGTTGTCAGCCGGCTCACGTACGGTTTCCCTTCTCTGTTACCCTTCCCCCTGCCCCCACAACCGTTTTCTTCAGGTTCTGCCAAGGATCTCATCTGCACGCATTTCATGGATGGCATGAATGAGCTGGCGATTGCTTACATCCTGCAGGGGGTGCTCAAGGCCCTGGACTACATCCACCACATGGGATATGTACACAGGTGCATTCTTAGGCATAATCGCCCTTTCCAAGAGCAGGGATCTGGGCCCATGAGCCCTCGAGTAAAGAGTTGACTGAAGTTAGCGAAGTCAGAGTTTAAACCAAGGCTCGGGATTCTGTCCTTGCCTCTGACTTGGTAGAAAGAGCATTTAGTCTGTCAGTGCTGACTTTCTCTTTACTGAGCAGCTTGGTCCTGAATACTCTGTGAAAAGAACATCTAACATGGACCTCTGCACCGCCCCCTCCTTCCTTAGAGCACCCAAACTGGTGTATGTGCCCCAAAGTCTGCCCTATGCCGAGGGGCTAGGGGGAAGGCAGGTTGCTGAGTAGATGGTGTCAGGAAAAGCAGCTCACAGTAGGGAAGATAATGAAACCGGACCCCTACCTACCTCCACAAACAAAGGGGCACTTCAGATGGCCCCAATGTCCAATGTAAAACTACAGACTTAGAAGGAAATGTTTCTGTGACCTAAGGCATCAAAGACTGTCTAGATATTTTAGAAGCCCAAAACATAAGACAAAAAAATTGATGGATCTGACTATATCAAGATTAAAGATCTCTCTCCAGTGAAGGACACCATGAACAAAATTAAGAAATGGGTGACAGCGTGCGAGATGTAAGCTTTGTCTAAAACACACAGATTTGTAACAAGGAAATCCTGTGAATCAACAAGAAAAGGACAGCAAAGCAATAGAAAAAAAGAGCAAAGGGTTTGAAGTTTATAAAAGAGGAAACCTAGAGGACTAACTGTCATATGAACAGACGCTCAAAGCTAACAATAATCAGAAAAGCAAATTAAAACAGGAGGATGTCACCCCGTACACCTGAGACGGGTGTAATGTGGAGGCTGGATGAGGCCCAGTGTGGTGAGGAGGTGGGGTCTCCTGTCCGCAGAGCGGAAGATGGCCTGACACGGCCAGGGTCACTCAGGACTGGGACCGTCACTGGCGCTCCAGGTGGACACCCCAAAGAAGCCCTCACACGGGCCCCTCGGGGTGCTTGTGGGAGTCATCGTTCACGTCCATGGGGGTTAGAGGCAGTGTTAGCGGGAGAGTGGATGAGTAAAAGTGGTAGAGCCCAGCCCAGGGTACAGGTGGCAGTTGGGAGCAAAGGTTAGTTCTATGCAGGTGGCAACACAGATGGATCTTATAAAGAGCACGGAGGGGTGAAGGAAGAATGGGAGGCGTAACACAGCACCGTCAGGTAAATTGGAAATATATGCACACAAAACCATGCTACACTTGACAAGAATACCTACAAACAAAAAGTACAGATTAAAAGCATAGATGGTAGGGGGAGCAGTGGTCCGTGAGCATAAAAGAGAACTTTAACAAAATGTAAGGAAGCTTTAAAATCTGGTGATGAGTAAATTGGGTCATGCTGTTTTCTCTTTTCTCATACATGTGTTATAAAAATACGTGTTTCTGTATAAATGGCATGAACATATACATGTGTAAAACACACACCCGGACGCTGCCAGGGAGAGAGCGGACTGGAGCTAGTATGTGACGATCAAGGTTTGCGGCATGAGGGGCTCCTGCTGCCCCATGACACCCTCTCTCTGCCCCCACCCTCCCAGGAGTGTCAAAGCCAGCCACATTCTGATCTCCTCCGATGGGAAGGTCTACCTGTCTGGTTTACGCAGCAACCTCAGCATGATCAGCCACGGGCAGCGGCAGCGTGTGGTCCACGACTTTCCCAAGTACAGTGTCAAGGTTCTGCCTTGGCTCAGCCCGGAGGTCCTGCAGCAGGTTGGTGGACTGAGTCCCGAGGAGCCCCCATCCTTCACCAACTCAGTTTCCCAAGGGAGCCTTTGGGAATTTCCCGGGATGGAGGTGCTTCGCTTCTGAGTGGAGTAAGGGGTTCCACCTGTCGGCAGGTGGGTCCGGGGGGGCCTCTCAGCGTGGGTGTTAGGGGCCCATTGCAGATGGTGTTGTTCCCCTCTCTGGGGTCCCAAACTGGACCTAATGCTATTTCAATTCCCTTCAGAGACCTTCCCATCTTACAGGAAGGGTGAGCATTCTGGAAATATTTGGTGCTCTCCACATCCTTCCACTAAGCAGGAGCATGGGGCCCCACCCTTCTTCCTGCTTGTTACACAGCATCAAACATTCCTTCCTTTAAAATACCAGCTACTCTTCGGTAGTACAGGCAAGGAAAGTGGGCCGGATTAGAGACAGGCATTCTGTTCCTCTCCTTGGATGTTGCCCCGTGACCTTCTCTTCTAAGAACAACCAAGACTACAGATGGAGTGATCTGTGGCTTTTTTTCTCCTGACTTAGAATCTTCAGGGTTACGATGCCAAGTCTGACATCTACAGTGTGGGCATCACAGCCTGTGAGCTGGCCAATGGCCATGTCCCCTTTAAGGATATGCCTGCCACCCAGGTGAGCCTGCAGCCTGGTTTCCTTCTTGTCTGCCCACCTCATGCCTTCCCCTGCTGTGGGAGGGGATCCCAGGGGAGGAGAGCCCAGGAGCAGGCCCACTGCTCACCGCTGTAGCGCCTGAAGCAGGAGTGCAAATGGAGGCCCACATGCCATGTGTCTGTTTAGATGTATAAATCAAGTTAACACATTTTTATAAATTTATAAAATATATTCTATTCTCCTACCTTGATAAATATACCTGGAAGGCCCGTTTCTAATTTATAGTTCTCAGACTTCTCAGGTTCTGTGCTATCACATTCTGGCTGATACCTTTGGAACCTCTGTCTATAAGTTCCATTTCTTTTCATGCCCCTTACAACAACTGCCCTTTGGCCACTCCTTGGCACACACAGCCAGTGGCATAGTGTACCTTTGGGAGACAGACCAGGGGAGAGGCTTATCCAGACCTTATCAAGTCCAGGAAGCAGACTTGGGATATTTGGTCAAGGATTACCTGAGTCCTAAGTACCTGGAGCATGATCTAGAACTGGGAGGGGGTTGAAGCAGGCTCTGAGCGAGCCTCTCCCTTGAACCCACAGATTGCCCTACAGGAAGAGGGGAAGGTAGAGAATGGCCAGAGGGGAGCTCTGTAGAGCAGAGGGGCCAGCGAGTCTTCTGGGAGGAGGTGACATTTGAGCCTTGAAGGCAAATAGGAATTAACTGTGTGAAGAATGGGAAGTAGAAGGAAACTCTTAGGCAGAGGGAACAGCATGTGCAAAGACCCAGAGTCAAGAAAGGACAAGATCTGGGGAATGGCGATAGTTACAAATAGCTGAAGTACAGGCGCTTCCAGGGGGCTGCTGGGTGATGTGGCTGGAGAAGGAAGCCAGGGCAGATCCTGAAGGACTTCGTGTGCCATACCAGGGCATTTGGTTCCTGGCCCAAAGCATGTGGAGAACTGCTGACGGCTTTTGAGCCCAGGAGCGACAGCCTCAGATACATTATTTTAGAAAGATCACTACAGCAGGTGGATTAGACCTAACAGACTAGTTAGGAGGGTATGGAAACCTACGCAAGGAATCTAGAAAAATCTAAGGCCGTCACAGAAAGGAGCTCAGGAAAAGTGAAAGGCTACGTGAGGTGAACAAGAGGTACAGATCCAGAAACAGCACAGTCCAGTAGCACTTTCTGGGATTGTGGGAATTCCTTATCTGTGCTGCCCAGTATGGTGGCCCCTGGCCACCTGCGGTTGTTGAGCACTTACAGTGTGGCCAGTGAGACCGAGGAACTGAATTGTAAGCCAAATTTCAATTCACTTAAGTATAAACAGCTACACGTGACTGGGGGCTGCCATATTAGGCAGCACAGCGCTAGAGAGCCTTCCAGGTTTCTGGCTTGGAAGTTCACGAGGACAGCCGTAAGGACAGCAATCCCCAAGGTGGGGCTAGTTTTGCACATGTGGAGTCCAAGGACTTCGGCCCAGCCGCCGCAGCTGAGCCTGCCCCGGGCACATCGCTGCTGCACAGCCTGCCACAGCGACAGCCCAGGGCCGGGCAGGGCAGGCGCCACATGCCACGCCCCTTTGGACCCACCTGGGCACCACAAACTGGGGCCGGGCGCCAAAGAAAGTGACCTGATGGCCGCCTTCACCCTAGGGTGAGGGCTCTATGGTTAAAAGGATGTGATGTCTTATAAATGGGAGAGGAGACAGGGAGCCCCTTCCTTGGCGGCCATGGTTGGGGTGCATTTTCGTAGGCCCTCTCCTCTGCACTTTGGCCTAGCTAGGGTATGGCTGCTGAGCCAGTGGTCCGCATTGCTTTGAAAAGTTAGACTTATCCTGCTTCTCTTTTCTCTACTCCCCCCAAACTACTTTTGTATTTTGGGAAAAGTGTATCTGTAAAGAAACTCTATAGACCTCCCAGCGGGCCCCCCTCCAGCCCAGGTCCCGGCTCTGTCCTCCCCAGATGCTGCTGGAGAAGCTGAACGGCACGGTGCCCTGCCTGCTGGACACCAGCACCATCCCCGCCGAGGAGCTGACCATGAGCACCTCGCGCTCAGCAGCCAACTCTGGCCTGAGTGAGAGCCTGGCCACCAGCACCCCCAGGACCTCCAATGGTGACTCGCCAACCCACCCCTATTACCGCACCTTTTCCCCTCACTTCCACCACTTTGTGGAGCAGTGCCTTCAGCGTAACCCAGACGTCAGGTATTTCCTCTGGGCTGGGAGTGGGCTTTCAGGGGAGTGTGGGGGGCTGGAGGGTCAAAGGCCGAGTTTGAGAGGATGCATCTGTTCTGTAAAGGGCTGGGTTCCTGGAGGAGTCCCGAGCCCCGTGGCCGGAGGGATTAGCACAAGGGTTTGCTAAGAAGCCAGCCTGGGTAGCTCCGGCTGTTGTTTTGGGGGGTTGCTGAGGGAAGAAGTAGAGGATGCTTGAGGGTAAGGTATAAGCAGCAGGGTTTGGAAAGTCTGGGGCACAGGGGTGATAGTGGTCTCTCTTCCCCTTTCTCTACAGACCAAGTGCCAGCACCCTTCTGAACCATTCTTTCTTCAAGCAGGTAAAAGCACTTTCCCGAGGCTCCCTGGGTGGGTGGGTTGGTTTTTCTGGCCTGTGCTTCTAACTACCCTGCACCTCCTTAGCCTCGGGGTCCTCTTCCCTTTGAATCCGAGAAATGGCCATGTTTCTGAAGCCCCTTAAAGGCACTGCTCCTTCCTCTCATAAAGGTTTTTGGCTCTAACAGGCCAACTGTCATGCGGCCACTTGCCCCATGGTGTCCTGTGACCCAGAGCAACAGGTTCCACCCCCAACTGTCTCTCCTCCCTCAGATCAAGCGACGCGCCTCAGAGGCTTTGCCTGAGTTACTTCGCCCTGTCACCCCCATCACCAATTTTGAGGGCAGCCAGCCTCAGGATCCCAGTGGAATCTTCAGCCTGGTAACAAACCTGGAAGAGCTAGAGGTGGACGACTGGGAGTTCTGAGCCTCTGAAGGATGTGCACGTTCTCTGTCCCGGGACACGTGAACCCCGGGGGCCCTTCCTAAGGGCTGGCCACATTCCCACCCTCCTGGGTGCAGATTGGGTAGAAAGGACATTTCTGCCACGAGAGTTGGCCGCTTATTCACTGGGAGAGAAATTCCTGGAGAGAAACCTCCTTTACTGCTCCAGGACTTCGAGACACCAGGGAATCCCAGCAACCAGTGATCAGAGGCCAGGAAGCTGACATTCCATCCTGGGAGCTCAGGCGACCTCTTTGGAAGGAAGAGATGCTGTTCCCTGGAGGGCTGAGGGCCAAGCCCAGGGTTTGACTCTTCAACCCAGGGGACTGTGTGACTTCCTCTTTTCACTCTTGCTGTCCTACCAGGCTGTTCCATTCTCTTCCTCTGCTCTCAGATCCTATAGGTCCATGGAGGGGCAAGCAATAAGCAACCTGCCCCCCACCCTAGTCTCCAGACCTCGCCCTAATAATTGAAGGGAAGGGCATTTTTTGTTAAGCACCAGGTTAAGGCTGGGGCAGTCCCTCCTTATCCCTCTCATTGCTTGGACCGCAACCCCTAAAACCTTCCCATAGTTCATCTGTGTGGTTCATCCCTTTCCCACCAAGAGTCCATCTTACTGCCTCCTGCTGGCCACCTTGAGGCTTTCTCCAAGGCCACAATGTCTTGCCTAGCCTGAGGACTTAAGTCCTTATGCCGCTTTAGTTTCATTGCCAGAACGGATTAAAATTTTTGGAGAATCCGTTGGAGAGTGTCATTACTATGTGCTGGCCGCACAGGCTCAGACAGGAGTCACCCAGCCCCACGTTCTGCCATCCCAGAGTGGCCCCACGAGCGCATGCGGAAGCCTGGCCGTGACCGCTTTCATTAGAGAGCCTCACAACACACATAATAGATCTGTCTCCTCACCATCCAAAAATGTGAGACTAGTCATTTTAGCCTGTGGCCATCGATCAAACCACTTTGGGGCTGGAAAGGTCTAGGTGCTGAAGACTAGCCCTTTGGCAGGACAACTTCCGGGCCACTCGGAGTCCAGGGAGAAGAGGCTCATGTTTGGCAGGAAAGGAGGTGGAGGGTTTTCTTCTGGAACATGACTTGCAGTATCTCCTTACCCCTGGAACTGACACCCAAAGATCAGGTAACCTAAGAACCAGACCTCTGTCCCCTCTCTGTCATCCTGGCTGGCGGCCAGCGAGGCTGGGCAAGAGGGTGACTCTGACTTGGGTCTCCATGGTGCTTCCCAGTCTGCATGGGCATCAGCCTGGCACCTTCCCCCCTGCTGGTCCCCCAGCGGGGAGGCCCTCCTTCTCTCGCTCAGGCACTAAACATGTCAGATTAAGGAAGTGCCCCTCCCTCTTCCCTGAAGCTGCTATGAACCCTCAAATGCTCTCACTTTCCCTTCCCTCCGAAATTTTAACACCAGTTTAAAAATGAAAAATAAAAACCCTCTTCCTTTGGGCAGTCACAGGGGATGAGGTGAAGAGAATGGACACCCACCCCGAGGCGGAGTGGGAAGGCCAGGTCACCTTTGTTTCCAACCCCCTCCTTACCCCTGCCCAGCTCATCTCTTCTTTAAACCTCGAGTTCCCTTTTCTCAACACCATGATCAGCCTGTTTTCTTTCCTTCTGAACTGCTTTCTTCACCTTGCTGTCCGTTTCATCCTCTGCCCCAAGCTGCTGCTTCTGGGGGCCCCTGCAGGGCCGTCTTGGGCAGGGGAGGGGGCCTCTGGGCCCAGGGGTCCAGACAGTCGTCCTGCAGGCTGTTCCTCGGCCGGGGAGGCCGGGGGAGGGCCACGCCTTCCTGCATCACTGCAGCCGCCTTTGAGAATCTGGTGACCGCTGTGCACACTGCCAGGAAAGATGCACATAAACAATTTCAGAAGTGTCACACACACACACACACACTGCCAGGAAAGATGCACATAAACAATTTCAGAAGTGCACACACACACACACACACACTGCCAGGAAAGATGCACATAAACAATTTCAGAAGTGTCACACACACACACACACACACACACACACTGCCAGGAAAGATGCACATAAACAATTTCAGAAGTGACACACACACACACACCCACCCACCCACCCAGCCAGCCAGCCAGGGAGTCCTGGGCTTGCAGCTCCACCCAAACATAAATCTTCCTCTAGAGAGGGGCAGGAGACTGGGGAGAAAAAGCACAGCACGGTCTGTGAGCCCTCAGGGAGCTGAGGGCACACAGCTGGGGGCCGGGGCAGCCTGCCGCCTCGCTCCCTCCCCCGCCAGGCACGGGGACTTGTTCTGTTCCGTGACACGTGTGTGGGCCGTGCTCTGGAGCCACTAGTTCTATTCCTGCCCCAGTGTGGGAACAAGCTCTGTTTAGGGCTGTGTTTGGTGGAACGGCTTCCAGCCAGACGTCAGGCAGAGCCCAGCAGTCCCTGCGGCTAACGAGACCCGGGTCTCCCAGCGGAGGTGCCCCACGTGCGCAGCGCAGCTGAGGCTCTACCCCCACCAGTGGGTGTCGGTCACCTGCGTCCCGTGCGCCTCCGACTGTCCACCTGTCGTGCGCTGTGCTGGGGCCAGGGCAGCCGCTGGGCCAGAGGGGCCGGGAGGAAGGAGCCGGGTGCAGGGGGCTTCCTGGCTTCCGGAGCCAGCCCTGCTGCTCTAGCTTTGTTACTTGGAACCAGGCACTTGGGATCTTCAGGCCTCCTCCCTGTGTTAAATGGGGTTAGGGTGCGCCGAGATTTGCTTGTTTGAAGGATGGCAATCTCTTTCCCCTCAATTTCTCAAAGGCAGCAGTGCCCGCCTGCAGGAACCGGGGGGTGGGGGTGGTGGTGACTAAGGCCACAAAGACCGGCCACAGAAACGCTTTAGGACGGCGGGCTTCGGCGCCTCCCGGGGCCCTTGTCTATGGGGTTGCAGGAGAAGGCGCCGAGGGGTGGTGGTCCCCCCGGACCCCTCTTGCAGACCAGCGCGCGGTGAGCCGGCGGCCCAAGGGAACAGTACACGGGGACGCCGGGCCTCGCAGCCTCGCGTGGCGTGACCGCGTGCCGGCAGCCGCTGCCTCCTTCCTCCCGCGGCCGGGCGGGGGCGGCCTCTGGCGGCGGGAGGACTCCGCGGCCGGAGGGGGGCGTGGGATCCCAGACCGGGCCGCCCCCGCGGGTCTGTCAAACCGCAGGGCCCACGGAGCGCCGGGCGGGCACGAGGGCCAACCGAGGGAAACTGAGGCAGCGAAAGGCCCAGGGGCAGCCCGGTGATCTTTCCCCGCCTCAGGGGCGTCGCCGGGAGCGCCATTTGTCCCGGGACCCTAGGCGTCTCCCTGAACTCGTCCTCGCCCTGAGGCGTGCGGTACCCTCCCGCTCCGGTCTCTGCCTCGGTCCCGAGCGGGCCGACGGGGCTGCCGGTTTCCCGAGGCCGGCGAGCGCCGGGCCCGCGGGGATGGTGCGAGTGCCCGGAGCGCAGGGTCGGGGCGGGGGGCAGACAAAGGCAAGTGACGGAGAGCGAGGGAAAGACAAAGCGCAGAGGGGGTCGGCGGCGGCGCCGGGGCCCCGGAGGCGGCTCCGGGCGCGGCGGAGCCAATGGGCGGGCGCGGGGCGGGGGCCGGCGGGGGCGGCGCCGCGATAAGGCGGTGGCGGCGGCGGCCGCTCGGGGACCACTGGCACCGGCGGCAGCTCGCGCCCGCGCCCTCCTCGCACCCGAGGCGCCCCCCCGGAGACCGACCCCCCGCCCCGCGGCCCAGGCCGGGGCCCCGGTGAGACCCGCGGGCGGGCCGGGGAGGGGGCCTGCATCCGTCTCAGAAACCCGGGCGCCGAGGTGGGGGTGCGGGCGCGAGGCCCGCCGCCCGCGGGGTCCCGACGCCCAGCGCCTCCGCCCGTCGCTCTCGCCCGGGGCCCCGAGGCCAGCGGCCGCCCTCCCGGGCGGGCCTCCCAGCGGGGACGGAGCCAAATCCTCCTGGCTGTGTCGACGGGGGTCCCGGGTCTGGGGTCCCGTCCTCGCGGGCCCCGGGGCGGAGAAGCGGGGCGCGCGGGCGGTGGCTCCGCCGGGCGGGGCAGGCGGCGCAGCCCGGGAGCGCTGTCCAGGGACTGGGCCGGCCGAGCGGGGGGCGGGGGGGCGGGGGGGGGCGCCCGCGGCCTCGGCCTCGGCAGCGTCGGGCCGGGGTCAGGCCGGGCCAGCGGATTCTCACCGAGGCCCCGCCCGGCCCACTCGCCCCTGACCTCCGCTCATCCAGGCGGGGTACCGGGCCTCGGGGCGCTCACGGCGGCTGCGCGGCGCCCCCTCCCCCGGCCGTTCCCGGCTAACTCTGTCCTCCCCGCGACACATGGTTCCACTCAGGGACCCCTGTCCCTTGGGGAGCAGCGTTGGGGGGCGGGCGGGCGAAGGGGGAGGTGGGTGAGGGGCGGAAGTGGCAAGACCCAGAGCAACAGGAAATGACTTAGGGAAAGTCCCAACCGCAGCCCCCTAGCCCCCTGCCTGTAAACACTCCCACCCCTCCCTGCAGGCTGGGGAAGCGCTTGTGGGGCCCGACCGACCGACTTCCCCTTGCAGAACCCAGCGGGTGCCGCGTCTCCACCTGGGGCCTCCATCACCCCCACCGAGCCATGTTCCAGGCTGCAGAAACCGCCCAGGCCACCCCCTCTCATGTAGGTGATCAGCGGGGCGGGAGGGCTCCTCTCCCGCAGGCGTCGGGCCTGGGGGTTAAGGGGTGAGGGCCCCGCCCCCCCAAGCCCCTGGGATCTGGGCTGGTGACCGCAGCAATGGTCTGGGGGCATCCCTCTGACCCGGCCTTGACTGGCCCTCTCCCTTAGGAAGCCAAAGGCAGCGGTGGCAGCAGCACTGTCCAGCGCTCCAAGGTAGGGCCCTGAGAGTGGAGTGTTGGGGGGAGAAGGGACGGGCATGGGCCAGGCCCCCGGCTGACTCTCTCCCCGGGACAGTCCTTCAGCCTTCGGGCCCAGGTGAAGGAGAGCTGTGCCGCCTGCCAGAAGACCGTGTATCCCATGGAGCGGCTGGTGGCCGACAAGCTCATTTTCCACAACTCTTGCTTCTGTTGCAAGCACTGTCACACCAAGCTGAGGTGCGCCCTTGCCCTGCCCCTGCCCTCGCCTGCTAGCCCTGACCTGACCTGACCACAGTTGTTCTGCTTCTGCAGCCTGGGCAGCTATGCGGCACTGCACGGGGAATTTTACTGCAAACCCCACTTTCAGCAGCTGTTTAAGAGCAAAGGCAACTACGATGAGGGCTTCGGCCGGAAGCAGCATAAGGAGCTCTGGGCCCACAAGGAGGTGGACTCCGGCACGAAGACAGCCTGAGGGCCCTTTGCCGTCCACTGTCTCTGTAGCAGGCGGCCTGGAGAGGGGCAGTGGGAAGGGTGGGAAAGAGATTGGACCTGGGCTTGGGTTGGGGGACAGGGTGGGACAGGGATAAGGCCATCTTGCCCAGGCAGAGGATTAGGGGGGCAGGGCTCTGCTCCAGGATTCCTTCATTCTCCCTGGGGGGGGGTGTGGTTTGGGAACCAGGATTGGGGTTTGCTCACCACCCTGCTTCCTACTTCTTTCAGCCTACCCCACCTCACCCCCTGGCCCCCTGGGAGGCCCCCAAGCCCAGCTTCCCTATCTAGGTGCCTTTTCTCCAGCAAGGAGTCACCATGCCCCCTCAGGGTCCCAAGCTCCCTCACTGCCACCTGGGGCCCTCTGGGGACCCCATGTCTCTCCATCTACCTCTGCCCTTAGCCTGGTCCTGAGCCATGGAAACCGGAGGAAGGAGAGCCAGCGTGCCCTCGCTGGGCCTCACAGAATGCCCACCAAGGCCCTGGGCGGGGGAGGGGGAAATGGATTAGCCCTGCCCTCCCCCGAAAGCGAGGCAGGGCATGCCCAGTGGGGCTTGGGACCCATCTTGCACCACCGGAGTCAAGAAGCGGAAGCTCAAGCACCCGCCAGGCTGAGAGC